TCCAAAAACGAGTTTTGGAAGCTCATCTTTAAGATGAGCACCCAAACAAGTTGCCCATAACACTTGGTAACTTGCCTGAAAACACGCATCTATTGGTAGATTATGAATGATAATGATGACCGCACCTTGACATTACTCAATATAATGATAAAATCAGTAGGACACAGATTTACTAAATCAGCAAGAGTCCTTTATGTTTGTTGGTAATTTAGAGTGGTTAGTCCTTCATTGTTCCTCACAAGCACAACCATACTTTGCATGGCCTTTTCACCCAAAGACCATAAAAACTATTGCATGACAAATTTCATGACCATTAAATCTGATATTGAAAAAATTAAGATAAATAACAGTTATTGCATGAAGTCTATGTCCAACGTTCTACATAATACATCTACAATTAATAAGATTAATGATGTAACATTAACAAATATAAGTTGGTAATGGTTTCCTTAATATAATCCCATGTATTCAGCTGTGGTATACAATATTTAATAAAATAATCTCATCAGACCGTAAGTCACCTAATTTTATTGAGTCCACCCTCACAAACTATAGTGTTCATATTCTGCCGTGGCATATTACAAACTATAGAGATGAAGTTGAGGACCCCTCTAGTTCATCTCTCGGCCAACGAAGAAGCCTATGAAGAAGAAGAAATGAAAAAGAAAGAGAAAATATGTTGCCATTTTCCCAAGTATAGAATATTTCTGTATCCATTGACAATTGGCTTCTCGAGGGCTTGCTAGTGGCAGTATATCATTGGTAGCCTGATACACCTATCTCCATCCTCTTGACTATTATATGGAAGCAGTTGCTGAAGTGATTGGTAAACAGCTTGGTGGATTAATGGGTTTTGATCGTTCATGTAAAATGGTGCAAAGTGGCTTACGTCTCAAGTTACACAGCCGGAAAAGCTCTCTCTTCCCTCTGTGTACGCATTTTAGCTTTGTTCAGGTACGTCGGTTCTAGCGTCGGTGCTCTTTGAACATCTTCGAAGTTGGTGTATGCAGTGTGGCCAGTGGTGACTGTTTGGCGGCATTGTATGAAGTCGGTGAGGCAGATTAATGGCTGACTTTTTTTTTTTGGGCTAAAGCATAGTATAGGTATCCTCCTATTAGAGGTAATCTTATTCGAGACACTGTCGGGCACTAAATATGGGCACCTCTCTCAATGAGGATTCAAGCATTGGTTCGCAATGTTATGAGGAACTAGTCTCTTCTACTAAACCCAACTCTCCGTTAGTTACATTAATGGCTGATTTCTTTCAGTGGACCCTTGTTCTTATCAATCGTTACCCTGGGCTTGGGCCAACTGCATTGCTTCAAATGAATCCTCTCCTCCAACTGCTTGGACTGCCCCTTCATCTGCAACCTAAGATGCTTGTTCACTCAATCCTGCTTCATCTTTGAATCAAAAAGTTGATGACTTGAGCTCCTTAGCCACACCGACTATTTCTCACTTCAATTCTTCGATCCAAGCCGAAGGTGGTTTTCAAGCTGGCCTTCATGATATCTCGGGATCTCAAGACTCTCAACCTAACTTGTGTGATGGTTTACCCAATTCCTCTCCTACTTTTGTTTTTTCTGATACTATTTTAGCCCATTCTAGCTCTGTTGGACTTAACTGCTCGTCTCATATTAAATCTTCGTATTTTCATGGAACAAGGAAACGCCAACGAACAGATCTCTCTTGCTTCAATTTAAAACGAGACAAGTTTGTTGCTCCATGTGGTTACTGGTTATCTCTTTGTCAATAGAAAGCGCAAGTATTGTTTTTCTGATGATGATCATGTATCCTTTGCGAAGTATATCAGGAATAGAGATGTTGGTGGTTTCTTGGATGCTAGAGCATCTAGGGAGGGCATTTTCTACTAGTCGAGTCTCATGATCTTGCACAAGGTTCTCGCAGAGCTTGTGCCAAAAAGTTCCACAAATGCTCATGACACCAAGAGGGATCTCTAAGTTCATGAGCAGCCACTTAGAGGTCCAACTTGCAGTGCTGCAGTGTTTCGTCTTTTGGTGTTTTTTTTCTCTGTTGGTCGTTGTATTTTGTTAACTGAGGTAGAGTTATAAGTAGACTGATAAGCATTTATAACTATTAAAACTCTACATTAACTAATTAAGTATAACTAATTCAGTGGAACTAAGATAATCTAACAAACAAATAATAGATAAGTAACTCTGGGTTGTTCTTTTTGACATTTGCATTTGTTATTTTGATAACTCTTGTTTTGTTTGATTTCAATTTTATTTCATTTAATTTAAATTCAATCTTGATTTTCTCAACTTAGATGAAAAGAAGATTTTTATTACCTAATTACTAATTAACTCGGTCTTCTATAAGATTGACCTTGATTTGCCACTATCTATTTTTACTACCTACACTTGCGGTGCCCATCAACAATTAGTAGCGTCAATATAATCGCAAGTGAAGAGAATGCTGGTCTTCTATCTGCAAGAAAACTTATTACTGGTTTAATATGAGAGGATAGGAACATGTTTAATAATCATAATGTGCCTGTCATCTGAAAGCATGTGGCTTGCAGGTCGGCCTCAAGAAATCGTTGTTCAAACTGCCAAGACAAGAGAATTGAGCTGTAAAAACCATCATTTTCAACTTTTATGTTTTCTTGTGATTTGTGTCACAAATATTGAGATGAGTTTTTGTCTTCTTTTCAAAATCACGATATCTTAAGATTTACGTAGCAAATAAGGGATCAGTAGCTAGGTCGTTCTTGATATTTTAATTGTTAACTTAAGAAATTTCTTAGTCTTTAATTTTAATTTTAAATTTCTCTTGCTCACCTCGAATGAAAAATTTAAAGTTCATGATCAATTTGTTCAGTATCAAGTCCTTGAAAGAACGATACTCTACACGTGTAAAATTGAATTTTTTTTTTTGTCCTCTTTTCAAAATCATGATATCTTCGTGTCCATTCAAGATTGCATTATATTATTGTTGTTAAACAATTGCTGGCAACCATAACAAAGCATAATTGCCCCTAATTTGATTTATTAAAGTCTAATATAAAATGCCAGTATTATTGCCTGCATTACCCCACATGTCGTTACCAATCTATCAACCACGGGAAAAACATTTTGATAGATGATTAAACCAATTTTCCATACCACCGTTGACAGAAATGAAAAATATTTATCATTTTCCAATAATAATGCGATTTTAACCTGGAGGTCTCAAATATTTATGTGTTGCGCCAAGAATTTGGTTAACAATAGAACTACCCTAGCTATTTTAAAAGGACAATACTTATATCAAGTTACTTATATTCATTATATCAAGTTCTCTAATCACATATGACTAAGCATCTTATTTTTGAAATATTAGCATTTAATTATAAATCTACATAAAACAAAAAAAGATACATGTTGATGTATGATTAAAGAACTTGACATAATGAATATAAAGAACTTGATATAAGTTTTAACTTTTTAAAAAGTCTTTTGTACTAATAATTTGTCCTCCATATAGATTAATCTTATGGATTATGCACATTTTCAACGTAAAGACTTAAATTGAATAGTATTTTAGGGAACCAACACATATTTTTTATTAAGAAATAATTTAACTAACTTGCTTAACTTTTATGAATTAATTATCTAACTCTTTCTAATTACAGTATTTAGGGTATGTTTGTTTACCTATTTTGAAAAAAGTTTTTTGTTTTAAAAATAAAAAATAAAAACATTTTTGGAAACTTATTTTAATTGTGTTTTTTTAAAAAAAAAGCGATTTGTTTTTCAAAATTAAAAACACAAAACAATTTTAAGATATTTTCTGATTGTTGTTGCATTTCTTGTTCTCTATTTTGAAAGATCAGGACCCTTGCAGGACTTCTCTTTTCCGCTTGCTTGACGGCCATTGAAAGGCTTGAGTACTTGCCGATGCTTCGCCCTCCTGTTCACCGTCCCCTCACTCTCCATTCTCAGTGTTCGGTGCTCATCTTCTTTTCTGCTTGGTGTTTGCTGTCTCCAATCTCTCCTTCCTTTGTCCTCAGTTCTCAATGCATGAGTCCTCAACTAGCTCTACTCTCTCTCCTTGTCTAATTAATTTGGTGGGTTTTCGATACAAAAGCTTGATCTGTATCATTTGGTGGGTTTTTGTGTATACGATTTGTTTTTGTTGCTTGTTGTAATCCTCATTTTGTGGGTGTTTATGTATACAATTTGGACATCACACAACACTTGAAGAAAAGCCACACAACAGTATACATTAAACTCTGATCAAACTTACAAAACTTCTGCATCATAACTAAGAAACGTAGTTCTTCCATATCATTATCAGAACATAACCAATCAAAAGCTCTATCATCTGGACCGATCGAAGCGCTAGTGATCATTATTTTACCGCCACTTCTTCATGTTCACTGTTTCACGCCTCATCAAGATCCCTCCATAAATATCAATTGAAAAGGAAGTCACCTGAAGCTTCAAAGTTTAGAAAAATTTGTACCCTGCAGAAGCTAAAACTATTCTTTGTGCGGAACGTACGCAACAATAATTCTTGAGAGAGAACACTTAGACATTCACCTGCAAAACAATAATAATAAAAAAGTTTATCTCATTGATCTAAATTAGATATTTTCAAATGTTAGTATCTAATGAGATTATTAGTATTCAAAAATTTGTGCATGGACCTTGTTATTCTTGACAAACCAGATGTTACAATGATCTGCATGGATCTAGAACTTCAAGCCATGTTTCCCCAACTTCTCTTGAATAATAACATCAAATTGTTCCACCTCATCAAACTTGAGAAAATTCTTCCAATCTCCAACTTCTCCACGTCTAAAATAAGCCTTCTTTTCTATTCCATGTGGCATTTTTCCACTTTTATTTGCTTCCAAATCTCTCAAATTCTCAAAATTACAAAGCCTTAATATATCACCCACAATATCGTTATCCTCTTCCTCCTTGGAAAAACCATAGCCTATAAACCTCGCAAGGTCCTTTAATACCTGATCAGGCTCGCCTTTCATGTCCTCATATTTCAAAAAACATTATTTTATTTGGATCCTCCAAACTTTTCTTGTAGTACCCCAGCATGTGATCCCAAAATGGCCCATAAAGGTTCACTCCTCTGCAAAATTGCTTGAAAAAGTTTTCCATCATGTTGTTCTCTTGGATTTCTCGTCTCAGCGTGTTCATGAAATGCCAGTAAGAGATGAATATGTCCTTAGGATTTCTACACAAGTACACTTTCTTACGTCTCGATGACTTAATGGACTCCGGCAACAAAACATATGGTAGATGACTCGCAAAAAGCCTTGGCGATGAGAATAAGCTCAGATCAGGCTCGGCGTGCCCATTGTAGAGGCTTATCTCCAAGGTGCGTACCAAAATATGTGGATTGGCAGTGAGGAGGGGGTGAGTAGAGGATATTCGGGTCGGGTTCGGGTCATGACTCTTGCGATTGATAATAGCAAAAGTGAGTGCTTTGAGCCAAGTGGTGCCAGACTTTGGTGAGGTGATAAGGAGGACATCTGAGTCACGGCCTTGGAAGTGGTGTTGACAATTGAGAACTGCTTGCACTATCCTCTTGAAGAGCCAGAGACCCTTATATTGGTAGAGTTTCTGCGTAAACCAATCTGGTTCAGCGGGTAAGGTTGCAATTAGGTCCCGACACTCCTGGGATAGGCCTTCATTGTCTTCATCCCAAAGGAGGGGCAGAATAGGAGGATCAGAATCGCTGGCTGCCATGGTTATTATAACTATTGTGTGGGAAGTATAGATAGATAGAACAAATGGATCACCCAAGTGAATGTAACGTGGTTTCACAGGGCTTTATATAATGTTAGTGAGGGATCGTGAGGAAAATATCATCCGCCGTCACTATTTTCTTTATGACACATCATGGCTGGGCCACATGTATAATTCATTAGTGGTGGTAGTTTAAAGAACAAATGAGGTTTGGTTTGGTTGGTAGAAGCACGTAGAACATATGCAGCAGCACGTCATATGTAGGTGAACTGAAAGTCCACACCGATTCTGGGTTAAAACACGATTCATGATCCTAATTAATGTGCTGGTGTCGAGTTAAACACTATATGTTGGAACATATTGCGACGCCCATTAATGCGCCCGTGGCTTCTAATTTTTCTGCTGAAAAGAAATCAAATAGTAAGATAATGCTATCCATCCCTAATATAAGAGCTAATTGATCAATCTAAGTAAATTAATGAAGTTCGTTAAGTTAATTATTTGTAATAAATAGATGTTGTCTTTCTTAAAATATTCTTGCTAATCACGTGTATTAGTCAAAACTACGATTTGATGGAATATTTAACATGTATAACTATTATAAGAATTATTTTAGAAAAAAAATAGATGAACATGAGAGATGAAGTAAAGTGAGGTCTTATATTTAAAACTAAATTGAAAATCAAACTAGGTCTTATATTAAAGACTGAAAGTTGTATATAATAGAAAGTGGAGAGAGTGCAGAGAGAGAGAGAGAGAGAGGATAGGAACAAGGAATCTTGTCAGAATTTTTCGTGTTTAATTTCATGGCGTCAGATTAAGGGATTCTATTTTTGGCAACTATATATACACCGAGGAAAGCTCTGCCGCTTTGATGAAAAGTCTGATCTAAAATATCCAGTATTATTGCCTGCACCAATCTATCAACCCCGAGAACGACATTTTGAGGTGACTTACTGGTTTTCCATACCACCCTTTACGGAAATAAAAGAGCTACTATATTTCCAATGAGGTTTTGAGCTTGGAGGTCTCGAATTCATAATTACAACTCGAAATTCTAGAAAGATATTTCTATTGTACACGTGCTGCACGTTTGTTATGCTTTGTTAAAGGTCTATTCTTGACATAGGAAAGGTCAGCTACATTTAACAATTTCATTGTAAAGTAATTTGTAGATAATAGAAACTTGAATCGCTAACACAACATGATCTCTTTTCGCTAAGTTACTTCGTTAAATATGAATTAAAACCTTAAAACATGCTGGACATTGTTGCGTGAAAAATGAAGATAGTGGCCTAGTTCTTGAATAATTTATTCTATATTTTAGAATCTTGATTCCAACTTCATTAGTGGTTCGGTGTAGACTGATTACTATTAATGGAAATGATTCAGGATTGAAAGAAAAGATTATAAAAGAGGGAATAAATTTTACTTGACTAGTTGAAGCTTCTTAATAAGGGGGTTGGGCCCAAAAAATGTGAACTTTTGCGTCAAATAATAATACAAATTATGAGTATGTTGGTTGCACTCTAAAAATGAGTTTTTTTGGGGGTGATTTTCAAATTTGCCACCAAATTTAAAGATTTTTATAGAAGGGTAAGGTGCAAGCTGAGTTTACCCTAAAGTATTCAAAATGCACACATGACTTCATAATGTATATATGGGTGCAAAAATACTTATGAAGATTTCAAAATGATGCAAAAATATCACGACAATTAATTTAAGCAAACATTTGTTAACTTTTAGGACATCGATGGATGCAGGGCCGCCATTAAAGAGTACGAATTTTTGCTTAAATAATTGGTCATCCCTTAACATTTTTGTGCCGTTGTGAAATTTTCATGAGCATTTTTGCTCTAAGTGTAGTGCTAGTGCATATTCGTGAATATTTTATTGATAGATTATCACCTTAACTGTTTTAGGTAGAATCCTGTTAATTTTAAAAATTAACATTTAAAAATAAAAAATTGATATTGTATATAATAATGTGGATTTATAACGTATAGGATTCTTTCAGGCCAGACTTTTATATTTAGAGAATAAGCATGCATCGGTCTCGACGTCTTAACCTTACACCATCTTATAAATCCCTCTAAAATTAAAAAAATCTTGTAATTCACTCCATTTCAAGCAATCACCCCTTCAAGGCCAGTGTTGATGAGGTCAAATTCATGAACTAGAACTTCCAACAGAGTTTTTTGGAATGGCACAACAAAGTGCATTTTTAATTTTTGGTGTATGAAGAGGGTTCATATTGTGTTCTTTACTCCATCAAACACTGAGATTTTGAATTTGTTGTCATATGAAATACAACATTTTTCCTAGTACTCGTGGATGGAATTAAGCATAACTCATGCAAGTGCTTATCTTCTGGTCCCTCCTTGTGGTCCTAGTTTCATCCTCTTCTTCATCGGACATTAATGTTCAACTTATGGATCAATATAATCTCAAACATATCACAGGAAATCTTGTAAGGATGCCTCTTTCCCACCTCCTATTTGTGCCAACACAATATACTCCTCAGTTCCTTATAATGTATGACTTATTTAACTAATTTGATTAGATTAAATAAATTAATTACAATAAATATGACATGTTTTTATTGAAACATGCTTATTTAGGACAGTCTTTGACTTAAGTGATTGTTGTAAAAGAACCCACCATATTGTTGAGGGAGTATTAGTTGGGGGTAGTTAGGGGAGAAAATAATAAATATAGGAGATATATCTTACATACAGAAGGCAGTCCTTGGAGCACTAGCTCCTCATGAAATCGTTATTTAATTTCATTTTAGGTTTTTGGCCTTTCATTTTGTTTTTCCTTTTTAAAATATATTTCAAAATAAACAATTCAAGTGAAGTTTTGGAACTAGGTAGCGATATTAGACTATCATTTCATTTGTTTTAAAAAAACGATCATAGATATCTTGACATCTGATATTTGAAGTTTCTATATTTTATATGATAATAAAAAATTATTATCATGAGAAAATGGCATATTTATCATAACATTTGCATTGACCATAATATTCTCTTCTAATTAATCTATCATTTTATGGGTGAAATGAAAGAAAAATGTCAAACTGTCATTATGATGCAGATTTAATTAATTAATTTTTTTGTTAGTTATTTATTTTGTTAACTACCCACTAACCCATTTATTGATTTTTCATTTTAATTATTTTATTTGAAATTAGGTTATAAGTACCCTAGGTTTCTATCGTGTAAGCAGACTTGGCTTTTGACGTATTAGATAGTTTTCTTCCATTCCCTTTCTCGTCTTTGCTCTCCCTTTCTCTCTAATATTCTTCTCTGATCTCCTTCTCTTCTCTTTTCTATTTTTTGTTTTACATTAATTTTGGCATCAGAGCCTGGTTGTGATCCCTGTGTGATTAATTTCTTTCAATTCCTAACATCCAAACGTGCCCTTATAGTTCAAGAAACTCCACAACCGTCGCTCACCACCATCCTGCACCTCTGTTCAACCACATCATAACTCCGCTATCCATTCCATCACCACTGGTCCTTACTCCAGCAACAAACCATCCAAACCCCGGTGATCCATTGCCAAGAACTATCAGAAATCACCCCCGCACGATGCAAACTCCTCTCCTGCGCAAAGTCACCATAGGTGTCACTTCGGAGGCCCAGATCTCACTCGTTCGGCATCCGATCAGCGTGACACCACCACCATTAGGTCCGCCTCGAGGAACACAACCTGTTCCTTGAATTTCACGGCCAACTAAAACCTCGCGCGCCTCCACGTGCCGCCTCTTCCCTCTGCGCGTGAGCCCACACGTCGCCACAGAGCCAGTTCGCCCAGATCAGGTTTTTCATTGTTTTGACCCCGTTTCGCACCATTTCTTCCACCACCGACCCTCCCAACACTAAGAGCAGTCACCCAGGAGCATTGGGGTATGGTGTCGTAAAGCTACGCCGGTAAGGCCCAATCGACCCTCTAATTAATTACTGTGACTTTTTAGCATACTAAAGGTTACTTTTATTACTTTGGGATGTTGTTCTTACTGGGTACCACTGCTGCCTGTATATATATTTTTTGTTATTTATTCTTGATTATTATTTTATTTAAAAAAAAGGAAAAAAAAAAAAGGAAAAAAAAAAATTTATTTTCATTTTATTAGTAGCTTCTTTGCTTGCTTCATTATTTATTGTTAGCTTTCGCCTATCTATTGCATGACTTTTCGTGATATTGAAAATAGACAAGACACCTTAGACCAAGCACTTCAATCCTTAGAACCCCCTGTTAGCTCCCTTCAATCCCAAATGGACTAGAGACTTCAGACCTTTCAACTAAAACTAAATGAACTCACCAAATGCCTTAAGGAATCCTTGGCTGTGATTAAGCAAGAATATAACTCCCAGTGTCAAGAGCTTAGAGCCACTACTCAGGAGCTTAAGATAGCTAATCAAGAGCTTAGGACCTCCCAGCAGGAAATTAGAGATTCTCTCCTAAGAATTGATAGGCAAGTCTTTAGTAAGGGTGTAGAAGGAATTCTTAGAAATGCCCCTGAGACCACTCAAGCACACACCAAGCTTGACACCGTTGAACCATCTCACACTAAAGGCTCCCAGCTTTCTATAGGTCTGCGTAACCCATAGGCCTTTCCCCAACTCCTCGAGGAAGAGAAAGACCCATGGGATGAACAAGGTACAGAGAATCGTTATGAATCTCAACTTGGGAATTGACGTACCAATGGAGGGTACACAGCTCGCCCCAAATATGGAGGAGACCCGTCGCCACCTAAGCGATACCGAGACAACCCTCGACAAGACTACAATGATGATGCGATGAAGAGGGTTAAGGTTAAGGCACCTGACTTTGATAATCGATTAGATGCGAATGCCTTCCTCAATTGATTAGCCACCATGGACAAATACTTCGAGTGGTACAATATGAGTGACATGCAGCGCGTCTGCTTTACCAAGATGAAGCTCGTCGGATCTGCACAGAAGTATTAGAAGCATGTCCAAGCGAACCTC